ATCTTTTTGGAAAATTAAACAGTTTCTTACAAACTTATGTGACTTGATAAAATACATGATGAAATATAATCGTATATGGGTAACCGAGAAATCACAATTAGCTTCAAGGTACACATGACAATTAATGAGATTAATACAACACTTCTACTTGAATGCCACTATCAATCACTCACTATTGAGTGTTTGTAATAACCTCTGACTGCGATCCAATGTGGATTTTGGTCAAATGATGAGGCAGAAATATGTTGTTAGTAACATTCTAGAAGAATTTTATGTGGAAGATACACAGTTACAACTTCTGTGGGGCATGAAGAAAAAGTAATAGTGTAACTAATTACTGTTGCCAGAAAGTAATAAGTAAAGTAACAATATTACTTTTGAAAGGAGTCACTAGTAATGAGTAATATATTACATTCTTTGAGTAACTAGCCCAACACTGCGAACACGCTTGCAGGAGAGCGTTTTCCTAAATACTGTAAACACACGTCACACGTCATACGCACGCGCAGATGGGCGTGTTCCGCTTGGGCAAACTTCCATATTTAGACCCACCCAGTCTTTTGTGACTTGTGCTAGATTGTCACATATAAACTGTATTAATAAATATTTAAAAACAACAACAACAGGAAAAAAAGACAGCCTACAGGAAACGGAGATATATAGGCCTACTCTGAACGTTGAGCTCTTAAAGAGACTACAAGGCATTTCATACAGCTGCTCTTTTAAACTGTATACTCCACACTAGGTTAGGTCATATATTTGACAGGCTTATGGAAAGATTACAATAGTCATTCCTTAATTACCAAACAACATGAGTCATGGTGTACGAAAGAGTCACATGTTTTGTATTTAGTTAAAGATTGTTTGGTGTGACACAGTCATGGAAAGAATGAGTCCCTCCCAGCTTATTAAATATTACGCTGCGTGCCTCACGCTCCAGCATAGAGGTACTCTGTAGCTAGGAAGTGACGGGGGCGCTGCCTAAACTGTAAGTAACTAATACTCTTTTACACTATAAATGCCCGCTGTTTAACGTTTTTAGCTATTAAAAGATGTTGAGTGCGCTGCTACGTACACGTTTATACGCTTTCTGCTCGGTAATTCCTGCAAGAACACGACTGCGTTATTTTAAGCCTACTCCCAGCTAGCATTTTAAGAGATCCACCCATAATGTTGTGCATTAAACACACACTTCACTTCTGTTGCTGATCTTCAATTCGCACGTTTAAGGATCCATCACAGTTCAGATCTGTGGTATAATGTTTTATGGGGAGATAACCTATTTTAATGTGACTGAACATTTTGTTTTATATACATTTGCAGTAGATAAAACCCGAACAGTTACTGTTTTGTGAGATAATATGGACGTTTGGATATATTTGTTGATATAATGAATGCAGTATGAAGTATAAGATGTTCTTTTATATTAAGTAAATAGTTTTACATTATATTATAAGCTATTTTATTCAAAACACTATATTATGCAAATTTAAAGTTAACTAGCCTGAATAGTGGACTGTACAGTTCTGTTTACATTTGCATAATATAGAGTTTTGCATAATATAGAATTGCTCTCTCTCTCTCTCTCTCTCTCTCTCTCTCTCTCTCTCTCTCTCTCTATATATATATATATATATATATATATACAGTACTTTAATTTTTCCACGTTAATAATTGGTGGACTCTTTGGACTCTTGGCTTTATTTAAGACCCCTGCTTTATAGAAAGTAAAGCTTCTACAGTCAAAAAGAGTGGACAGTTGGTTTTGTGATGATTTCAAGTGTGAAGGCAATGCATGTTGAGAAACTGACTGGTGGATAGAGCTGTTTTGACATTCTAATGTAGGACATTCACACATTCTTAAAAATTAGGCCAAACAAAAGTCCTTTTTTCTGCCCTGAGCAATGCATTGTTATATAGGCCCACCCGAACTATAAGTTTGGAAAGTTTGACTGTTTAGATCGCATCATATGTTGAGGTGTGGTGTTTTATTATCAACAGAGTTCATCTCCAAAAGTCTGTGTATATTGCCGCTTCCCTCTACACATATTATAATGTGTTTGATGGCAGGTGAGGTGCTATGGCAAACCGCTCCCACACTAAGTAAAGGTGATAAGACTGCATGCAGAGTGTATTTTACTTCCAAATACATCAGTATTAGTTTCCATGACCACATATAGAGCATGAACACAGGCTAAAAAAATATTATATAGCTTTTTATTTGTATGTTCACAAAGTATGGACATCACTCTGAGGCAATGCATCAAGGGTCAATAAGAAATATTATAAAAGCCCTGTCGCTCCTATCATGTTATCCATATAATTTGTGCTCCGTGTAGTGCTCAAGCACTAGGCCTATATTTTCTAACCCTACTGCAGATAACATTGCCTTTCTGCACTGCCTCAATAATCAGTTTAGCATAGGCAAAAGAGCATGATACTTCCTACTATAGAGCTCAATA